CCCCCCCCCAATTTTTAAAACACCCAGACTTGATTTTTTTCATCAGAGAAGAGCCATAGACCATAGACCTACAAGTTAACAAGAAAAAACAGACGCGTATGCATCGCTCTTCCGAGGTTAAACGCCAAATTCCTGGTTCTAATAAAATTTGGCGTATACCTGCGAATGGACCACCAATGTTGGCTAAAGTTTAGAGGTGTCAGCTATACCCATCGTCCTCGTCTGCCATCAGATTCCAAATACGGTCTCTAAAAAGTTATGTAGCATGTGAAGGCCTCGTCATGTCTAATTTTGGCAAAGGTATTTGTTGATGAATATCGTGCCAGGAATGCTGCATAACTGACAGATATATACACGAAGTTAGAGAGACAGAAAAGCCGACCGATTGATTATTTTGTTTGTTTGAGTAAAGAGACGCACACCGACACAATAATGGGGGTTTTCCAAGTTCGTGGAAGATGCAAGAAAATAAAAGGGACAGAAAAGACGTAGGACCTAACAATGACACCCTCTCCCACCCACTTCCCAAATCCATCCACCGGATTGATAGAATTTAAAGAATATAATTACACACACTGTGACTAACAGACAACGGATAGTATAGGTCTCCAAGCAATCAGGCTGAACGAAAAGGGCACTCAGGGAGTAGAGGCAAGTACGACAGCCGAAAATAGACATCTTTGCCGTATTTAGCAACTGTTTCAGAACGAAACCCGTTGTGGAAACCATACGACATTTCACAAAGAGATGCAAATCTATCAATCTCTTGTCAGCGAACTGCTTTTCAGTGATGTTCGCATGAGTGGGTAACGAGGCTGATATACACAGACAATATCATTGTCATTAGGATTTCCTCAGCACATCTCAATGTGAATTTTGGATGCTATTTTCAGAGAGCTGTGGACTGTGGCTGTTATTTTACTGTGCTGTCAGTCGGTAAACTCAATCTAAGGTCAGTAACAATATTATGATGGTCTTTAAACAAGACAATGACGAAGGTCACGATAAAAATAAAGGCAGCGAAGCAGACGGGAAGAAGAAGAGGAGGAGGAGGAGGAGGAGGAGGAGGAGGAGGAGGAGGAGGAGGAGGAGGAGAAGGAGAGGGAGGAAGAGGAGAAGAAGAAGAAGAGAAGGAGGAGGGGGACGAGTAAGAACAAAAACAACGACGACGACCTCAACAACAATAAAAACAATAAATATTTCAACCAGAATGACATTAACGGGATAACAGTAACAATAAAATACGACAAAAACAACGGCGACATCGACAACAACAGGTAAAAGAAACAGCAACAACAAAATCAAAACCGTAACACCACCACCACCACAAACAACACAACAACAACAACAACAACAACAACAACAACAACAACAACAACAACAACAGCAACAACAACGATGACGGTGAGTTTCCAACTCAAAAAAGTATTCCAACTCACCATCATCTGACCTCTGACCCTGTGCCTGCCCGATGAAAAGGACACACAAAAGGAGAGCACAAGCCACACTGGCCCTCTGAACACACTGCAACGTCCACTTTCCCATGGTCACATTCACCAGCGTCAGCCGTGTTGTATTCACCCCTGAGAAATGGTCGTTCAAACGACCTAATCCAAATCCAGGAGAGACAGGAACATCGGAGTTCACTTGTGCAACTACTGAATCACTAAAAGCTCCCACTTCTCTCGTCTGATCCCTTCTCGGCCGGGCCTCACTTCATGAATGAAACGAGAAAGAATGTAGAACAAATCCAACCTGAACGAAATAGCCTACAACAACAATGATGACACTCTTGATCTTGAACTTGGCAGATTCAACTTAATCAAACCTTCAATTGACCAAACCTGAATCAACGATACGCACTGATCTGATAAGAGTAAAATACTATATTCTATATTCGATTATGACGCTATCTTGATAAGGCCAAAACTTTATTATTTGTATCCCCTGTAGGCCTACTATTTATATATCCGTAGAAAAACAAGGCTTTAGAACTGTTGATTCTTCTAGATCAGCCTATGCATTTTTAAATGAAAAATAACATTGTACGGCACACAGAAAACTTTTCAGATTATCATTTCCACTTAGATCTAGATCTAGTAGCTTTTAGATATCCCCTTTTTTTAAATTAGCATCACAAAATAAGCTGTTATCTTACCCGAGAACAGTACACCGATATGTAGTGGCTGTCTAATCCGTATATGTGATTGTAGCCTAAGTGACATTTGCCTAACGTAGCAAAGCTTTATGATCTCTCAATATCGATCTACATACCCTCTGACAGTGTCACAATGACAATTGGGATCATTTTAACGATACCGACCAGCATCAGGCTCGCTGAACAGGTTGCATCCAAAAAAATAATAATAAAATACTACACTCATTTTACGTTTATGGGATGCAATTTGCAGCTGAGAACTCCAAACATTAATTTCACTTCAATTAAAAATTCCATACTGCTCAATTAACACAGGCTGGTGTTTTCTGAGACATTGTGCGCACCTGTGTCTGAATGATTATTGATTAACTTAAAAGTTCAGAGCTGGGACAATTGGAGACAATATTTCGAATGTGGGGAATTCAAGATTTTTACACTGATTTAGCAGCTATGAAAAAATAACGGTTCAACATATAAAATACGAAATAACTAATTAGAGCTAAATAGGATACGGTAGGACCAATGAGAAACAAAGACGTTAACAGCAACGAGTCCAGCGTTACAAAATGCTATTATTGAATGAAGCTGGGGAAAAGGTTTTGATACTGGAAATAGCCTACTGATCGGTAATGTTATAAGCCTAACCTGCTACTCGCAATAGCTCTATTTATTTGCTGATCCGAGACACGCCCTTAATTTACACCAAGCATGCTCACATCTACATCGCTAATAAGCTTATTACATATTCTGTAAGTGCACTCAACACTTGTCATGTCATTGGCTACTGGTAGGCTTGTTCCCATTAGGTTCTGCACTGTTGCACTATCATTAAACACCACTCAACACACCTCAAGCGAAGTCGTCCGTCAAAACCCAGGTAGAACAAGTACGAACACTATCGAAACATTCCTATGTTATCGAACGAGATACAGGCCGATTCTATCTTTGATGCACATGAATTCTGCCAAGCGATCAAAATGATCTTACCACAGCAATTTGTTGACCTTACTTCACGCAATCTCGCGTTAGATACTTAGTACTCTACAGACCCACATGCTTTCGCTACAGCACTAGATCTATATCTTATATAATCCAAATTGTGTTTTCCTAATTTCATACCTGCGTGCCGGTGAAAATTAAGTAGAACCTCTGCAATCCGGCTACGTAATAGCACGTACAGATCCGCTCAGCACTGCACCGCCGCGACTACCACACACACACACAGAGCTATTTTTCTCAAAGCGAACTTACACAAATTCACGCGGTCCACCACCACCACCACAGGTTCTCCTTCCCTCAGCTGTGATATTCAACCCTTTCCTTCCCTCTCTCACTCAGTCCGTCCCGCCGCTGTCCCCCACTCTCCGTCCTTCATCAGGCAGGGCGCTTGCTCAGCGTCGTCGTTCTGGGACGGTCCCAGGTCGCCCCCTCTTGTCCTTTGGCGGGACGTCTCGTTTATAAATTGAAAAAAAAAGACAAACCGCAGACGGAAAAGAGAAAAATCCCCGCCGACGCGGTGTAAAAGTGCTAGGCAAGCCTACTGTAGATGATAAAAGGAAGGGGCATAACGCACAACTAGAAATTAGAAGAGTGGGGGGAGCTATTGGGGTAGGCTAGGTAAGCTAGTGAGAAGAGAGTAGCTAGCCTAGTAAAGGGACGGCGAAAGGTAAGAAGAGAAGAGGCCCACATGTTGTGTGGTGAGAGAGGGGGACTGAAGCGTGTTTGCTGGGCTAACATCCACTTCCTCGCAGACCGGATTTATGGAGAACCAATTTGTGAGGAGATCAAAAAAGATAAGACGATACATTACTTTATTATGTCTCTGCTGAAAATAAAATATAGGAGTCGCTTTTTCTGCTTATTTGACACAATGTGTAAATATAATAGCTTTTTACACCAGGCCCAACACACACAGGCGACAGAGAAAGAAAGAAAGAGAAAGAAAGAGAGAGAGTGAGAGAGTGAAAGAGAGATATAAAGAAAAGAGAGCAGCAACAGCATTCTACGCAGCCCGCCTCCTAAATAATTTACATAGTGCTAAAGGGGGCTTTAGACGTTTATGCTAATATAATATCGCACACATACAAAGATCGATATACAAACGCAATCACACAGACACACACACGCATACAAACACACATACACACACACACACACACACACACACACAGACACACACACACACACATACACACTCAGGCAAATGCTGGCACGCTCTTCTACAGTCAAACTCATACAAGTGTGGCTTTAATAGTCGTGCTAAGGGTCAAAATTATAGAACTTGAGACTTCATGAAATCCATTATTACAAAAAAGATCAAAACGTTATGAGTACTGTTGAGAGAAAGCAGTTTGTTGCTATACTCCTTTGAATTGTTGTCACTTGCCTCTCGTTAATCTCTAACAAGCGAGTGTTTTAGAGCCCGTTCAAACACAAATAAATGTCTAGAAATGTTGAATCTGTTTTGAGATAATATGCTTTTCCCCAAATGTTTCCGATTTTATCTTTTCATTACCCTGTGAAAACCAGTCTAAAACAAAGCTAATTCAGAAAGGCAAGCTCTCTATAGAGCTGGTCTTTGAAATCATTAGTCCCTTAAAACGTAAGCCTGAACACCTGTTATTGATCTAATAACTCTCCGCTAAACAGAATATTCTCGCTACATCAGTCTCTAGCACACAAAACGCACTCTGGAATACTCGTTTTTCACTTCTCTTGTTTGAGTAAAATAAAGCACATCGACATACATAATAACAGTCATAAAGAGCAGAGAAGAATCAAGACAGATGGGCAGAAACAACAGAGGGAAAGAAAACAAGTTGGACCTACCAGTGGCACCCTACAACCACCCACTCACTAATTTTCTTAAATTCCCGACCAACACCAAAACGAAAAATACTCGACCCCCTTCAAGGAAAAAAGCCCCATAAAAACATCCGTACAGTAGGCTAAAGGAACCACTCTACAAAACACTTTATTGATGATCTCGATAGTTTGCCCAGAACAAGTCATCCTGTTTAACTAAAAATAACCGGTTAACCAGAATGTCCCGGGATTTCGAAGCTTTGAGGGGGTGGGCCCGTCTGTCTGTCCATCCGGCCAGGAGAAATCAACAGGTACGGTTCTCATACCCGATAACCCATCCGACTGCGGTTTGTGGCTTTGGTGGTCCTGCTATCCGAGGCGTCGCGTACTGACCCGAGCTATGAGGAGCCATTGTCAAGACTTAATAGCAAGTACCCTTTGCGGGTTGGCGATTCTCTTCTTTATTTCCCAGTGAGGATTTCTACAAGTTGTAAATCGTCTCACCTGCCACGCTTTTGCGCCCGGGCTGAAGGCGTTTGGGCTTTTAGCAGTCTGCCACGCTGCATGTCCGTAGGGCAGTTTGGTGGTGGGTTGATGTGAATTGGCTGACCATGGGAGTAAAAGTTAACTGTAACTATTTTTCTTTTTACACCAATCGACTCATTTAGAACATTTAATTACAGAAACACCGCTTTTGAACCGGCGTCTGTGATGTAGTATGTAGTGGTTGGGCGCGCTGTCGTCGCCGAAGAGAGACCTGAGTTCGATTTCCAAGTGGGGAGAAAATTCTTATCGATTATCTCAGTCTTACTGCTGGGATTTGTATACCTTAAAGCCCGGGTTAACCATAACAGGTATGGTCGGAAGCCTGCCTCCTAAATTATCTAAGTGGTGTTAAAATACCTAAATTATAAAAAACCCACTGCTTTGCCCTTGCTTGTCCGTGCAAACCCGGACTATGGGGGAATACATCATATCAGAAGAAAACAGAGAAATAGTGGATAAAATAGACGACCAATACTTACTCATTTTGCGGACAACAATGAAGTCCTTAACTGTAAAACCAAAGACGCCGGCAAAGGAAGAAGGGGTGACATTTATTGTTGAGACGTGGAAGTTTTTTAGGAGAAGGGATACGCAAATAAACGAGCACTTTGATTATTGTTACGTTTAACTCACCATCGCTCTTCTCTTGAAAGTTGTGTGAGAGAAGAAAAGTCACATCTTTGATCCGCCGCTCATCGCCTTTGTACACAAAAAGACGAGTGTTTACTTCTGAGAGTGGAAGCAATCTCTTCAAGTATCTCTGACCTATGTGTAGATAACCCTTGCTTCGACATGCATAGTCGTAGCAGCCCGCCTCCTAGATTATCTAGTTAAGTTGGCGAAGGTGTGAAACATTGAAAATTTACAATTTTTAAGATCAGTGAGAGAGAGAGAGAGAGAGAGAGAGAGAGAGAGAGAGTAAGAGAGAGAGAGGGAGTGTGTGTATAGGTGTGTGTGTAGTTTTGTGTGTATGTGTGTATGTATGTGTGTGTGTGTGTGTGCGTGTGTGTGTGTGTGTGTGTGTGTGCTTGCGTGCGTGCGCGCGCGCGGGGGTAAATAAGTTAGAGGGGCTCTTAGTCTTAGGCGTTCTTTTCAAATTAATGATAAGACCCCTACCCCCTCCTCTTCCGTTCACCACCACCACCGCCATTAACAACAACAACGACAACAACAACAGTTATTCTTTTAGCTAAAGAGACAAACGAACAAGCCGCACTTTAGTACCCCTTTATTAAAACAGTGATACCAATCTTCTCATACGTGTTGTATACTGAAAGTGCCCCGACACCCACGATCAGAACCAACGGACCGATAGGACAATAGAAGAAACACAAAGGCTCAATTATGTTTGACCATCCGCTCTCTGCAATGATTGCAATCTCCCCAATTCCCTGGCTCCCGAAAACTGTCTTTACGGACTATTTGTATAGCTAGATTGTTATCTGTACATGTCTCTCTGTCAGAAGAATGGTGCCACTTGTTTAACAATGCTGATAATGCGAACATACGACGTGGTGGTATAAAGAGTTAAAATAGCAACAGTGACGTCTTCGTTTTATCGACAAGGAGAAGGCATGACACAGAACGTAATAATAGAACGATACTAAACACCGAAACGCCAAACTGTACGTCAAGTTGAAAGTCTTTACTTGAAGTCACAAAACATGACGTCCATTATTTACCTTGTCGTGCGGGCGGAGGCTCTGTTGGCGTTAGCTCAGCTTGTATCCTGCTGGACTACGGAGCGGATGGCCTTCTTTCAAATACTAGACTCGGCGTTCTTGAACTCGGGCCATTTTATGGGGTTTTCAAGGCTCTCAACTCATTTGGATGCTCCGTCTTTTGGGTAATCTAATAGTGTTGATAAAGGCGTTAAACCTACACACTTTTTAAAAAAATCTTTGTCCTGCAGAATCACAGCGTGTGTGCAAAATCTCTGTTGTTATCGTCTTAGTGGCAGCAGCAGATTCGAAAATAATTCCAGTTGCATACAAACGCAACAGAACACAAACCATTGATCTTTGAAATGGGCAAATAGTTGTTGTGTCAGCATTAAAGAACTCGACCCTTTCAAAACATGTCTCAAACGACCTTGAAATAAATCATCCCCATCCCCTCAGTTTTGACAAGCCCTAACGACACCACCAAACAACTTCTTGTCCAGTCGCTGAAAACTCATTCTCTACAAGTCTGTCCCCGCGGTTTTATGAAGAAAAAAAAATCCGAAATTATGCAAACTGAGCCCAAAAATGTGAAATTATGCGATTCTGTTGAATTTAACAAAGAATGATAAAGGAAAATAATAAGAAATTATGCAAAAAGTTATCAAATTTTGCTAAAATATGCGGGGTGCATAAAACCACGGGACAGACAAGTACCCTGTTAACTCTGTAAACAGAGATGTCGTACTTCAGTCGTCTTCTTTATTTTTGCTGTTTATCCGAGGCAAAGGTCTATCTCAGGTTTCCAAGGAAAAGTAAGTTCCGAACTGAGACCTCAATCAGACCTTTACCACCAGAGGATGTGGTGTAGGGGTTGGGTGCTTCGCTGTTGCTAGCAGGAGACTCGAGTTCGATTCCCGAGTGGAGATGTGATTCTTTTAGTATCACGGCCTTTCTGCTGGGATGTTTCATCCCTCTCAGCCCAGTCTGGCCCTGACAGACAGGTTAGAAAGCCTGCCTCCGAATTGATCTAAATTGTGTCAATGGGGGTGTAAAAACAATTACACCACACAAGCCCACGTAGGTTATTGTACCCTGGAGGAAACCGCAGTCCCTCAGAACAGATGAGTCAAACTAAATCGCACAAGGGGCCAAAATTCAAAATACTCTTAAGGTTGCGGGCCGAACTGAATAAATACTCATTGAGCAGAGGACAACTAAAACTTGTTTTAACGATAATGTGTTAAAACAGACAAAGCATTAAAAAAAAGAACATGAAGTCAAGGTATAATAATTTTGTTCCAACGCCAGTTTGTCAGAGCTGGATGTTTGGCATGGATGTTCTTAGCTACAAGTTCGTTGATAAGTTCGAAATAAGGTTCTGTGCTTTTGGAGAATCTCAGGATACCTATTATACTCTCGCAGGTCGGACATAATTGATCGTTGGGCCACACAGGCTTGATCTTACTTTTTAAAATGTACTTTACGCCTCCATCGACATAATTTAGATCATTTAGGAGGCAGCTTTCGATTCTGCCTGTCATGGTCAATCCGGTCTGAGAGGGATGCAACATCCCAACAGAAAGCCCAAGATTCTCGATTAAAGTTCAGCCCCTTCGAGAATAAAACGGGGTTCTCCTACGTGCGACAGTGAAGCACTTGCCTAGCCGCTACACCGCAAACGCTGGTAGAAGACTTAAAACGTGGCTATAGATTTGTTAACGATGTACATAGCACACTGCCCCCCCCCCCCCCTGCTTAAAAAAGACGCATGGCATTCTCATCTACTTTAGATCATGAGCG